GGTTGGAGTCAATAAAAGGGGCTATTTGTTGACTATTTTTTACTCGAGCTTTCAATTGTGATTACAATTTTTATCAAGAGCTTCTAAAAAATACAAAATGTCTTACAAAGTTGAACTAGAAATAAAAAATTTTTTGTTAACTCACCAAATAAAATTAGTTTTTTATATAAAACTACTGCTTACATAATAAATACAAAAAATATTAATAAAAAAATGCCTTATTCTAATAAATGTTTCTCTGAAAAATTTAGATGAAGTTTCTTAAGAAAAAATTGAATTTATAAACAAAAATAGAATAGCTACAACCAGCCTAAAATGACATAAATACTAACTTAAAAATTTTTATTTTTGACATATTGTCAAAAATAAAATTTTGTTTAAAAAATTCTTCTTTGTTAAGTAACAAAAAAGAAGAAGATTTATTCACCATTGATAGATGCCCGAAAAAATGTAACAAATACATGGAAAATTCAAAATGTGATATTTTACTGACTGCATAAATTAAATAGAAATTATATAATTATAAATTTTGCTTAAATTTTGAATTTCTGACCTTTTGTTTAAATTATTATCACTTTTGCTAATACAAACCATTTCCAAAAAAGTTCTTTTAAATTTATTACTTTCATTACATAAAATTTTAATATTATCAAAATCCATAATATGGTCTTTGTCTATTACATGCTCTGCCAAAGCACAAGATGGTTTCTTAATTCTACAATCACTCTTGTGAGAAATAATGCGATTTGAGAGATTTCTTCCAGTCTCACCAATATACTCAGCTTCACACTGAGTACAAACAATGCTGTATACTACATTTGTTTGATCTAATTTGTCTATAGGATATTTAGTTTTGGAATATAAAGATGAAATAGTTTTGATGTTCTTTGTTGCTATTTTTATATTGTCAATAACCTTTAATGTTTGTATTAATTTAGGAGTTAATGATGGTATAAAAGGTAGTGAATGATAATATATGTTTTGATTGTTGGATACAGTGTTTTGAGATTTAGCAAAAAATGGTGTTAAGTTATTTATATTTAATAAATTAGAAAAAAGCATCCTATGTAGCATATCAGGAGGATAAGAGTTTTCAATTAAAATATTTTTTAACAAATGAAGATCTTCTTGTAGGTAGTCTGGATGAGAAAGTTTTAAAACACGTTCCTTTAATCCTGTTATAAGGTTCATTTTCATTTTATTTGGATGATTAGAGTAATAGCTTATAAATCTATTACTACATATGGGTTTTCTGAACCATCTAGTTTTTCAATTAAAAAATATTTTAATTGAAAACTCTTATCCTCCTGATATGCTACATAGGATGCTTTTTTCTAATTTATTAAATATAAATAACTTAACACCATTTTTTGCTAAATCTCAAAACACTGTATCCAACAATCAAAACATATATTATCATTCACTACCTTTTATACCATCATTAACTCCTAAATTAATACAAACATTAAAGGTTATTGACAATATAAAAATAGCAACTAAGAACATCAAAACTATTTCATCTTTATATTCCAAAACTAAATATCCTATAGACAAATTAGATCAAACAAATGTAGTATACAGCATTGTTTGTACTCAGTGTGAAGCTGAGTATATTGGTGAGACTGGAAGAAATCTCTCAAATCGCATTATTTCTCACAAGAGTGATTGTAGAATTAAGAAACCATCTTGTGCTTTGGCAGAGCATGTAATAGACAAAGACCATATTATGGATTTTGATAATATTAAAATTTTATGTAATGAAAGTAATAAATTTAAAAGAACTTTTTTGGAAATGGTTTGTATTAGCAAAAGTGATAATAATTTAAACAAAAGGTCAGAAATTCAAAATTTAAGCAAAATTTATAATTATATAATTTCTATTTAATTTATGCAGTCAGTAAAATATCACATTTTGAATTTTCCATGTATTTGTTAAATTTTTTCGGGCATCTATCAATGGTGAATAAATCTTCTTCTTTTTTGTTACTTAACAAAGAAGAATTTTTTAAACAAAATTTTATTTTTGACAATATGTCAAAAATAAAAATTTTTAAGCTAGTATTTATGTCATTTTAGGCTGGTTGTAGCTATTCTATTTTTGTTTATAAATTCAATTTTTTCTTAAGAAACTTCATCTAAATTTTTCAGAGAAACATTTATTAGAATAAGGCATTTTTTTATTAATATTTTTTGTATTTATTATGTAAGCAGTAGTTTTATATAAGAAACTAATTTTATTTGGTGAGTTAACAAAAAATTTTTTATTTCTAGTTCAACTTTGTAAGACATTTTGTATTTTTTAGAAGCTCTTGATAAAAATTGTAATCACAATTGAAAGCTCGAGTAAAAAATAGTCAACAAATAGCCCCTTTTATTGACTCCAACCCATCAAAAACAGTGTTATATATATATATATATATATATATATATATATATATATATATATATAAATATATATATATATATATATATATTTTTATATATATATATATATATATATATATATATATATATATATATTTATATATATATATATATATATATATTTATATATATTTATATATATTAGTTTGTCTTGTCATAAATAAAATATACAAAAATGAGTCGTATATTAGAACAAAACGCCCACAGAGTAGAACAAACATAGTGTCAGAAGTAAAAAAAAGTGTTCTGTCAAGCAGAACCAACCAGTCGTTGTAAAAATAAAAAGTAACATAGTTGGCAATGAAATTTAACCTTAGTCAATGGATGGAAATTTGGCTTCCAACTGGGAAGAATGGTGCATGAATTTCAAAATATTTATGAGGGCGACAGATTTAGAGGAGGAAAATGATGCGAAAAAAGGCAGCTCCACTATTACATTAAATTAGTCTAGATGCATAAATATTAACAAGTCAATTAAGGTTAAAATGAATACTGTAAAATTTAAAGAGGTAATAGACAGATTTAAAAAATAATGTAATCCAAAGAAAAATTTAACAGAAGAAATAATTATTTTCTTCATAGAGCACAGAAAGATGGTAACACCACTGAAGATTTCATGACTAGTTTAAAGAATTTAACATGTAAATTAAAAATTTTAAAAGAAAGTTTTTTGTGTGACATGATCATTATTGCTTTAAATCCTAAACACCATTTAATAAGGCAAAAACTATTGCAAGAATTAGATTTGAAGACAGACAAGGTATTACAATATACTCAAAATATAATTAATATCCAAATGCACGGTCTGTCCAAGAAATTAAATCACAGCGACTAAGATGGGCAGGCCACGTGCACAGACTGCATAACGGGAGACTTGTGAAACTGGTATGGGAGGAGATTCCCACAGGCAAAAAGACCACTCGGACGTCCCAGAATGCGATGGAGAGATAACATCCAAGCAGATCAGCGGAAAATGAAAATTAAATTTGACCCTAGGATGATGGAAGACCAAACAAATTGGAAAAAAGTTGTACATCTGTGATAAAGATTTAGATGCATATACTATGGGTTTTTATTTTGTAAAATCACTGCACCAACTGCAAAAAATTGTATAGTATCACCTGATAATGCTATCAAAATATACCAATACTGGCGATTGATTATTCATTCCTTTAAGCGCTTCAAACTCTGTTCCCTGCTCTTCTGTCCAGTGAAAACTGATATTTTTTTTCAATAATAATCTTAAATTTGTCTTACGCTCTGCTAAATTATCTATTTACTTACCTTAATAATTAATCATTCCTAAAAATCTTCCAATATCAGCTACACAGTTAGGAATTATCATTTGACAAATTCCACTTACTTTATTGTAATCTGGACTTATGCCTTATGTACTAAAATATGACCCAAATATTTAATATCTGACAATAGAAATTTGCATTTGTCCATATTTAATTTTAAATTTCATTTATTTAGCCATATTGAGTACGAGTTCTAGTATTTTATTGTGATCTTCCAAAGTTTCACTATAAATCAGAATACCATCTATATACAAACAAATTCCTTCTATGTCTCCGACTATTTCATTTATTATTTTATGAAAAACATCAGGGTGTATTAAATTTGCATAGCTTAGAACTCTCTAAATCTAAATCCAAAACCGGATTGAGCATCTAATATGGGATAATAACATATTTTTATAGACCATTGAATTTACCCATTAACTTGTTTCATTGACTTTTTCTGTTACGCCCGTAGACGACATTCTAGTGAAAACTTCTTTTTTTTCTCTATGATAGACTCATGGATTACTAGATCAACTCTTTTAATTAATTTTAAGTTTTGACAAGTATCTAGACACAAAATTATTTGCGTTAGTAGGTGTATTACGTCTATTGTTGATCTTTTTCTAAATCCCTGTAAATAGTGTTCTATATTTTTTTCTATGTAAAAATTTAGTCGTTTTCTGATGAGTATAGTTAAGATCGTATTTTATCACCAACATTATTTAATAAATATTATAAAGTATATTGTAAGACAATCAAAAAGTAAAATTAATGCTATAATATCGATAACTCCAGCTAACATGTGTATAAAAACAATAATGTTTGTTGATGTTCAAATCATACTACAAAAAAAAACAGATTACACTAACACGGCACTTATCTAGTCTAAAATACATAATTATATTATTTAAAAATGTTTTCACAGCTTTAAGCATCTGATCCAAGTGGTTTCAAGTGAAAGCCATTATTTTAAATCACCCATATATAGCAGATGATTTCACAATGTTGACTTCGTCACAAAACTATTGTTATTTTTTATGCTAAAACCTAAGTCTGACCTAAGTTTGAGGTTTGATGAAGAATGTCAGGCGATAGCAAAAAAAAAGAAGAAGACCAGACAACAAATAATAACAGATAATAGAGAGTGTAAAAAACAAGAATATAAAATTTATCGAGACAGATTGAAAGCTCTGTGTAGAAGGATAAAAAACCACAATAAGTTGAAATTAAAAGAGATAGAACAGAAGTTTAAAAAAAAAGGTGAGGTCGTGTTAGCAAGAAGTTAAAAAGATGGGAAAAGGTTACCAAAACCACTGTAGTTATATAAAAGGTAAAGACGGAATTTTAATTAGCGATCCAGCAGAAATAATGACGGAATGGAAAAAACATTTTGAAGAATTATTAAATGGTGAGGAGGACCACGAAGCAGTAGACAACTGGACTATTGGAGAAGATGCGATAGTTAAAAGACAGCCTGCAGAGGGGAAGGTGGTGACAGCAATACAAGATATGAAAAATAACAGAAGTCCTGGTAAAAATGATATATGCATAGAAACGATCAAGTTTAATGGAGAACAAATACAAAGAAAAATATATCAGCTACTAGTGCAAGTATGGGAAAAGAAAGTAATGCCATCGGAGTGGTATGAGGCCCGCATATGCCCTCTGCATAAAAAAGGACACAAATTGAAGTGTGACAACTATAGAGGTATAGCCTTATTAGACACGATATACAAAACCTTGGCAAGAATATTGAGAAATAAACTAAATTGTTACACGGAAAGAATCCTGCATAAATATCAGGTCGGCTTTAGAAAGGACAGATCTACTGTAGACCAAATCTTCTCATTAAAGGAGAAAGAAACGACTTGTTATGAAGGTAAAGTTCCCTGTATGTTTTGCTTGTGGATTTTAGACAAGCATATGATAGAGTCGATAGAGTCAAAATGTATTGAGCAATGTTACATTTGGGTATACCAAAGAAACTGATCCGGCTAGTAAAAATGATACTTAATAAATCTACGTGTGCAATTGCTTGGCAGGGTCACATATCAGATCAATTTACAGTTGCAAAAGGGTTGAGACAAGGAGATCCTTTATCCACTACATTATTCAACTTAGTGTTAGATCATGAAAAATAACCACCAGTGCTTGACATTTGCTGACGATCTAACGATCCTAGCAAAAACCGAGAACGAATTAACAAGAGTTGTGAAGAAAATCATCGAAAAAGCACAGAAATTCGGATTGGAACTAAATGAAGACAAAACCAAATATATAATCATGGGAGGGACATAAGGAAAAAAGAAGACTTTAGTGTGGCGTCAGTTAGTGGTAAAAGCTATAGATTTAAAAGAGTGGACAAATTTGAATACCTGGGTGTAATTTTCGATGAAAATGGAAAAGAGAAATGGGAGCTCGAAGCCAGAATAGCAAAAGGGAAAAAAAATTAGGTATTTTAAGAGTCCTATTGAAAATACGTTTCTAGACAAGGTGAACTCAGAATATATGAAACAGTAATTTGGCCCACAGTAACATATGCTGGTAAGACATGGACATTAAATAAGAAGATAGAGGATACTCTGGAAAGATGGGAAAAGAAAATATTGAGAAGCATATTCGGAGGATAGAAGATGGTTGGGAGAGAAGAACCAACAATGAATTAATGGCTGTATACAAAGAGCCTACCATTACCAAGTTCGTCAAGGCACAAATAATTAGATGGTTGGGACATGTGGAAAGAATGGCAGCAAACATAATGCCTAAACTAGTAATAACCAGAAAATTAAGGTGGATTAGTAAAGCAGAGGAACACCTTAAACACGTGAAGGTGAGGGACTGGAAAATAAAAGCACAAAATAGAAGCGAATGGAGCAATATTGTACATCAGGTCCTTCAGAGTAGTTAAGAATGTTATATATACATATTTAAGTTAAAGTTGTGTTTAAAATAATTGTAATTAGTTAATATTAGGATTATGTTGTAAAAAAATGCCCTAGGCCTTAACGGCATGTTATGCGTAAAAAGAAAATAAATAAATATAAAACCTAAGTCAGTGAAGTTCAGGTGTTATGATAGTAGGTTTATACAGAACTAAAGTGGACTTAAAAAGACTTACCTAGAAACTTGGGATATTTTTAACTTTGATGTTGTTTTTTCGATATATTTGAAAGTAAATTTTAGTCTTTCACTTCGTCATTATATGCATTATAGAGGTTAATATAATATCATCGACGTGATATTTTAATCCTTCGGTATAAAGTAAGCGGTTTTATAAGTAAGAAATGAGGAAGTATTTCTTAAGGACTTAAAATAACTTGAATAATTATTATTGTTATAAGCTCATAAGCACTCCAAAACTTTTGTAATCATAAGTTTTGAACCACGCATGGTCCAGGATATTTCCAGTTATAAAGCTCTTTAATACTGCTTGAGACTTGTTAAGTGTTAACAGTGTTCTTCGTGTATTTAGTCCATCCAGCAGCATTGTTGTTAGTGTACCTGGTTTCATGAGTTGGTTTGCGCCAAACTCATAATCTTCTTTTTGGTTTAGGTATGATTTATTTTCTTTTTTACAGTTTCGATGACTTCTGTAACTTATAGAACGCCTTCGCTGCATGTTCAAAAAGTACATTGTCGCATTTATGTTGTTAGCTACTTTGTATCTCCTTAGGCGACCTGAATAAATGGAGAGATTTTATTTTAATGTATCCAAGCATTTTTTGAGCGTTGTTCTCTGGACTATGTTGTGAGTTTATTGAAGTGATCATAAATATTTTTTTAGCGTTTTTAATTTATTTTCTACTTCTTACTCCTCAGATGTATTTCGTAATTTGTCCAATATTATTTCGCAATAATTCAATTTTCATAAACAGTCGTTTTTTACAGGGTGCAATTTTTTTAAAGTTTTTCCGATATTAATAGCCTTTGTGTTCTGATCTTAATGCCCATTACATTAGCAATTGTTATTGCTACAGAATATATCAGCATATGCAAACATTTTAATATATGGGCTTCCAAGATAGAATTGCGTAAGAGTGTGTTCACTATTTGTAAGAGCGCACCTAGTTTTTTACGAAAGTTTTTTTTGTAGCAGTGGCCTGATAAGTAAGTTTGCTTCATTAAACCCTTGTATGGCAAGTGCAGTTTCACTTACCCGACTATCATACAACTAGTATACTGGTGCGTATCAACATGCTGGATTTCTTGTATATGAAGCTCAGAAATCTGCGTGTTAGGAATTTTATTAGGCACTTCATACACAATTAGCTCTTGGTTAGGAATCATCTGTTCAACTTTACTTCTGATAGTATCGCGCTTAGTCTCTGATATAAGAATATTTCCTATAATTACCCGTTATTGGTCTGTCAATTCGTACAGATGTTGTCAATAACCAACTGTTTCTCAAACGAGGTTCGTCACCTTGTAATAAAAGCACAAAATGTTTTTGTTTATAGACACAGTCCATTTTATGCGCTGCCTCGGTCGTCCCGCGTAAGTGACTGCCGGCGGACGTTCCAGCACAGCATCGTCAGTGAGTAGAGCTCTTGTAGTTGTTTGGCTAACTTGGGTTGTAGAGCTGTAGCTTATTTTATGAGAGAAGGCCGTCTCCTCAACACCCTACCACCGACGTCCCACATGCTGTTACGTCCAGCACGGACTCAAGATGTACCCTGGAGATCCCTACGCAACGACCCTTAACATGTAAATTAAAAAAATTGAATCATTTAAACAACTATACATTAATCTTTATTTTTATAGGTGTGCATTTAATACCTACTGCCAGGTGTCAGTTTTCGTTCAACGCCAGCTATCCCTGCAACATTCTGAGTGTCAATGCTAAAAATACCTATTATAGAGAGCATCTGTCATTCTCGGAGGGTGGGGCCTGATAGAATATAAACTGTTGAAAAAACTCTCACATGAATAATTTTTATTATTATTATTATTTATAACTATTATCAAAATTTACATCTAAAATGTAAATTTACTTCAAACACCAAGTGACTTTTATTCTATATGCTCCATGTATATTAATATCCTTATTTAATTGCACTCCGTCGGTACTGTTAAATAGAAACTGCAAACTTATTAGAGCAAGAGCAACGATATCAACTTCAGGTATAGTTGGAGCTGTTTCTAACAGAAAAGATAATTTCAATTAACTCGCGTTTAAACTTATGTACGTAGGAAATAACTCATAATTACCAAAACTTCCGTAAATTTATAGAAATTACTGCCGCTTTTCAAATTAATGAAACCGGTAATGAGACTATACAGGAATAATGAAATATCAAAACTTTAACAGAATTACTTTTTTCATGCAGTCAAAACTTCCCGCCGTGAAAACACATTCATCATATGGTTGCGAAGTTGGTGATTCAGGAAATGTAAATATATGAGAATTTTCGTTTGTTCCCGAGACAATCCGCAGCTTCCTCAAATATCTGGGGATGCGAAATCAACCATCGGCTTGATTTATACCTTTATTCCCTTCACTTAATCCTTGCCTGCTCTCTTCACATATTCCCTGGGAATAACAAATTATGCTACGGGATCAACTTCAGCAAGAATATAAATTTTAATTTCAGAAATTTTATAATTCAACACAAACTTCGCAAGGCTACAAAACACTTTTGAAAACATGTAAATGAGCTTTAGCAAAAACAATCTCAGCACAAAAAGGTAACAATCGTAAATAAAAATCTAATGCTAAAGCTTAAGTTTCATAAATGGATATACTCAGTGAAATAAATTTATATTCTTAAAAACAATATTAGATTTATTTAATAATTCGAAGTTTTTAATAAATGAGTTCTTTTTATTTTCATTGAACGATATCGTTGTATACGGAGTCTAAAAATGTTTCAACGTAATTTTCAACATATTCTTTAAATCTTCTTTTATCTTCTATCTCTGTTAAAATTGTTGACCAGTATGACAAATTTGTCTCTGCTTTGAACCATATGTATGAAGATAGTTTTGTTGATGATTGTCCAGTTCCTAATATTGCTTAGCTTAGATTGTGTTTTCCAATCAAAGATTTGTTTCCAGTCTTCTACTTCAAGTACAAGGTGTATCTTTTTATTTCGGCGAGGTCAATTATCTTTCCCAAAGAGGCTGTTTTGTCGTTATTTTTCTTAAGAATGGTAGGCTTGATCGTTCGACTAGTTCAGTTAAATCTTATCGTTCTGTAAGTAATTCTTCATTGTATTTTTGTATCCGTGTTTTATAGTCGTAAAAAAAGCCATTAAAAGTAACCTTCCATTATCAGTTTTTGTCTTATCTTTAATAGGAATGTATAATTTCAGATGACAAAGTAGTCTTCACATATTAATAAATGACGCCTTTGCTATTTGTCACGCGTAGCTCTAGTAGACACCACACTCAGTATAACACAAGTTTGATCTAAATAAAAATGCATTTAAAATAAAGTTAACTTAACCCCAGTGAACAAAAGAATCGCGCTATGGTCCGCTGTTTATATCTACCAAAAGAAAAAATTGGCGATGGTTGGAAAGTTGAAATAAAAGAACGATGTATTGGTTAGCACCTAAACATCAAAGAAGACTACTCTATACTTAGTCTAGGTTGGAGGTGGCCGAATGGATTACTACTCGATTCAAACAAACCAAAAAGTGACCAATAAATATTTAATCGCCGTCAGTTTTTTTTAATATGTTATTTTCTTAGTCTGCAGTTTGTACGTTTTCTAGGTTTTCTATACCATACCAATTTGTTTGTGTGCTACATTATTATAAGTAGAAAATTGAAAAAAATTTCAGCGAATCCTGATCCCGAATTAATTTGGAAAAGGCTAGAAGAACTAACCGATGAGGGCGAATTTAAGAAGGATAATGTGACAGTAGAAGATAGCGCAAATTCAGACGATGAAAACCTGGAGACCTGGTTTAAATAATCCGGATTTTTCTCCTAAGATTCATGAAAACGATGATGATATTATCGCTTTTACAGAACAAGATGTAGTTAACGTGACATCCTCAACAACATCAGGTAAAAGAAAAAGAGCAGAAAAGGAAACTAAAACTTAAAAAATGTTGCAGACTTTTAATTTATAATAAAACCAACTTCAACAGAACTACTTGGGAAAAATGGGTACCAATGAAAAACTACTGATAAAATATCAAATAGTGAAATGCCTAAGACGAGGCTTGTACATTTAAAGC